CGCTGCTCCTCAAAGTGTTTGGTTTAATTTGTGACACCTTCCAGCCTCTGTAACCTTTGACCTGAGATTGTGTTCGTCTCAGAAAAGCGGTGGAAACCTCTCCGTGGGGGCGATGGTGGAGGGAGAGTTTATCCATTTGCTTGAATGCATCCTGACTCAATCCAACCTCTGGAAGTATATTTGGAAATCACAAGTGATTGTCCAATTTTGTGAGATTGAAGACTGTAATACCATGTTGCAGCTACCAGTCGGTGTCTGTCTAATGGAAACCAAGCCTCTATTGCTGCAGCTGATGTTGACATATAAATGCCTTACATAACTACATCACATTGCGCAATGGGAGCAGAGGGGTCTGAGGAATGAGGACACAATGGTTTTATAATATCTGGAGATGAGAAAAAGCCACATATTTTAGAAAATGAGTTTCACCAATTGTGGATGGTTATTTAAAGGAACAGATCACATGTAGGGGAGCACAGAACACTCTCAGTGGGATCGACAGAACTGGTGTTTGGTAAATCTAAAGCTAGTGGAGATGGAGTAAAAAACAGGAAAAGTTTTTATTAATACATTTCTTTAAATATCTGGATTAGAGTAGCTGTTAAAGACCAGTAAATCTAACCAGCTGAAGCAACCTAAGAAGCAAGAAGCTGACGAGCTCTAAAACATGCACACTGAATAATGACCATCTATCCTATTTCTGTACTCTATTTTCCATTCAGAGTTTCTCCAGTCTGCTTCTCTCTAGGTCGCAGGAGCTTGCTGCTGTTGCTGCTGAGTCAACGTTACAAGTGCAGCACTGGTCTTGAATACAGACGCAAACAAAATGTGCGCGCACACGCGCACACACACACACGCACACACGCACACAGGCACACACACACACACACACACACACACACACACACACACACACACGCACGCACGCACGCACGCACGCACGCACACACGCACGCAGCCTATTGCTCGAGTAATCCTCTCAGCTCCTGTCTGGAAGTAGGTTAAGAGCAAACATTCTCAGACAATCTCACAGGTAAGACTATCACGCTACAAGGCTCCAAAAACGCTCAAAACTTCTACAAATAATTTAGAAAATATGTTTATTCACAACGGAATGGGAAACTTTCAGCCTACTTATAAAAAAGGTTTGTTTCTTACCCAGCAGGACCTTAAGCATCCTCAATGTTGGGAGTATTTGGTTAAGATGCTAAATGAGTAAAACTTCATTTGTCAGGAATTATTATCCTGTTCATTAATATTCTGAGAAGATTTTTCTTTTTTTTCCAGCATCAAGAAAGACGTACAGTTCAGGCACCCTTTATCGTCAGCGGTTAGTCACAGTTTTGGCAAGAACCTTTATAAAAGGCCATCATCTTCACAGGTTCTGTTTAAAAATACATCCAAATATGCATTATTTGCCTTCAACATCTGGAAGAACCGATTTAAATAAAAGTTAAGAAGTACTTTTTAAAGTAAAGAATCAACCATCCACTTAGAAAGTTTTTCTTCTGACAACATTTGGAGACAAGGACAAATGAAATACTTTTAATGACTCTTTCATGAAGGTCATATTTTTGCAGGTGTGGCTGTAAAATAAGAAAACTCCACGCCCACTCAAGAGTTTGTTCATCTTCATAAAAGGTGTACTAGATTATGACTAACCAGTAACAAAGCTTAAATGCAGCTGTCCCTGTTTTACTTCTTACTTCTAGACCTCAGTTTGTGATAAACAAGCACAGGACAACTCTAGTGCAACTCTTTTAGACTTATTTGAGTGTCACGAGGCTGCTTAGATGAGCCCGTAGCTGCTGATCGTTTGAACAAGATTTAAGACAACAAGATAGCTCATAAATCTGCACGATCCGAATTTTTCTCCAATTAGATTATTATAATCCAGTCTGGTTTTAAATTTACACAACTAATAATGATTGCCATCCTCAAAGTTCTTAATAATCTAGTTGTAAATTAGTCTAGTTGTCCAAAAGTTATTTAGGACTTTAGGCTGCTACTGGTGATTAGGAATCTTTTACCAAATGCATTTTTGGTGGAGTACCTCAAGGGTATTTCCTCAGTGATCCCCATTTCCGAAAAAGAGTATTTAGAAGTACTTTTTTGACTTGAGCTCTATCAGGCCTTTGATGGATTTCATAGATTTTAGGGATGGACAATATATCGGCATTAATATCGGTCCGATAAATAAAACCGGGCCGATATTAACAACTGATTATTTTTCCATCTTGTCTCCATTTGTTTGCCTGTTTCAGAGAGTGAGGGGGTGATGTGTATTTGTTTAGTCATGCGACAGCCATTGTAATCATCTCAGAAGCGTAAATGTGTGTGGTGTGTGTACATAATAACGTAAATTCAGCTTTAATAATTTTCATTCTATAAAAAAATCTGCTAATTTTAGAAGCAATAATGTCAGTATATTGGTTATCGGCCATAACAGTGATATTGATATTGGATATCGTTACTGGCCCAAAAATTTCATATTGGTACATCACTAATAGATTTCCTTTGCTAAATATTTTTTTCCACCAGACACTTCTCATTTTACCCTGTACAATTTTCCGTTATGAACATTTAAAAAGATTGGACTGAAAACAAGACACCTCATATTTTCCAGTCTGGTTTATTAGCACCAATACCACAGTCTGTAAAATAAATTTCTTGCAAAAACACATCTCATTAATGTGCAAATCATTATCCATACATTTATGGAGCCAAAACATGACTACAATAATCCATTCTATGCACTTGCAAGTTGTCCAGATTTCAATTATTTCAGAGAAAAGCAGCCAGACTTTATACCAATTGCGACAGAAGAGAACAGATAATTAGAGGTAAAGCTTCAATGGTGGTTCCCTGCTTGTTTCAGAATTAATATTTATATTGTAATTATGACTTTTAAAGCTCATTTGGCATTAGTAAGTCAATAAATAACCGATCACCCCATAAGACTGGTTGAAACTTAAGCTCCCTGAGGGTTGATGAAGAAGGTTTCATGACTAAGCTTGGAAGATTGGTCGATCTTTTGTTTACTGAGGCTATAGGAGATATGAGGCACCAGACCTTCGTCCAAGTCTCTTGCAAGTTTTCAGGAATTTTCTTTATTTTACAATGGTGATGATTTACATGCACAGGAAGACTTTTATGTTCAAAATTATTTCACTTACTTGTCCCCATTAAACAAAAAATTATTTTACTATAATCCTTATAAAAATTTTGTAAAATGTTTTAAAGTGAAACATTATTCATACAAAGACACAAGTCTATTTTTTAATATGACTTACGTAAGCACTTTGGGCTATAAGGATCTGAGATTGCAGTCTGTACTCGTACAAACAGTACAAGGAGCTCATAACTGTGCTATGTTAGATGAAGATAAATCCTTATCTTTACTTAGTATTCCTGCTTTGTTCTGACTTGTCTGTAGTTGCTTTTACCCGTGTTTTTATTTGTTCACTTCAATTGACAAAATGAAAAAACTCAACAACACTGTGCTTATGATCAGGCTGTCCAAATGGGAGCTAGTCATCTCATTTTGGCAAATATGAGCCCACTTTGCTCCTGGACAGTCTCATATCCTTAAAACCTCTAAAAAAGCTGTTTGGATATGTTTGTCTGCATGAAGTTTTGTGGGGCTTTCCTGCTGCAATTTCTTCCACTGTTATCTGTGTCACACAGTTTCAGTTGGGCACCAGTAGCTCAGGAGGTTGAGCGAGCTGTCCAGTATTCGGAAGGTTGCAGGTTCGATCTCGGCTCTGACCAGAGAATGCTGCTGTTGTCCTTGGGCAAGACACTTAACCCACCTTGCCTGCTGGCGGTGGTCGGAAGGACAGGTGGCGCCCCTGTCATTGCGCTCCATGGCAGCTGTGGCTACATCGTAGCTATTCTCACCAGCGTGTGAACGTGTGTGAATGGGTTAGTGGCAGATTGTGTTGTGAAGTGCCTTTGGGGGTTGTAGAACCCTAAGAAGGTGCTATACAAATACCATTTACCATTTCAGTCAGCATTTGCTTATGTGACAAATGTTGAAGTTGATCGTTGTTGGTCTTATTAACCCTCAGAAAGATGCAATTCTTCAACACTGCATTCTGGCAGCTAACTTGGAAAAGACTGCAGTTATTTTAAACTTGGTTAAATTCTCTTAGAACCAAAATGTTATTTGAGAAAAACTCATTAAACTTTTATAATTCACAGATTTTATTAGGAGTATCAAAACCATTGCAAGGAACTTAAATGATTTAAGCTGATATGCCCCACATTCTCAGAACATCGGTTATCTTTTATTGTTCCCTTTCAACAGCACTGACGGACTCTTTTCTTTCCTAGGTTGTTTTTATTGGAGACAGAAGATCACATCAGATTGTAGGCCTCTCATGTAACACGTCTCACTCTTGTTACATGATATGAAACTGTTTGCATAGAGTAAATAATGATAAACCTAACAAATTCAAGAAGTTTGCCTTTGCAGGCACATGACAAATACTCTTAAATTCCCCCCTTGAAAAAAAATCAACCACATATAGTTAAGTTGTTGCAAAAAACTTGAAAAGAAATGATGCATTATTTTGCAGCATGCTGTAATCAACTCATGTCATGTACAGTAGTGTCTCAGCAATAACCTGATTTGATTTTCCAGCACCTTTAGTAATAAATTAACCTTTTGCTCTTTGAGGCTGCCTCTCAGTGGCCTTTACAAGCCATCCGTGATGTCATTTTACACAAGAAAACAACGTCAGCACATTTAGAAAACTGCTAGTGGTTCATAACAAGGGCTGCATCAGTACATTGTTCTCACCAATCATATGACCTTTGAGATTGGGGCTGGGACACCTGTGACAGCAACGAAAACTCAAAAAGACTTTGATCCAACTTGTTTATCAAGAACTGTCCTGACACTAGGACCAACTTGTTTTACTGATAGATAAACAGAGTAAATGACCTGAGTGATGTAAAACTATCGCTAATTAATAAGTAAAAGATAAAGAACTCACCAAAGATTTCACCATTCTTGGCATACTCCGTAACTAGATAAAGCATGTTCTTTGTCTCCATTACCTGAGAGAAAAGATAGACGAATAAACAGTGGTCAAAAAGGAAGGAGGAGGGAAGAAAGTACCACTTTAGTACAAAACAAACTTCTGCTGTAAAAAAAATGAAATATTACACAGTCAACCATAGTGGCGAACACTGTACATAGTGTGTCGTCCACAAAATTCCAAACAAACAAAATGCATGAATGGCACAGGGTCTAAAAATGGCATCCAAGTTAGAATGGAGGTGGATGGTTGGTGTTGCTGAGTGTATCTGTATAGTACTTAGAACCTCTCAGTCCTGACATAGCACTATGTTGTGTAGGAGGAAGTGAACCGATTTAGCAGCAGAAACACTCGGGAGATGAATAGAATTAAATGTGGAGTGTAGAATCAGATGGCGAGGGAGAGGATGAATCAGACACGGCGAGCCAGACATTCACACCAGAAATCCCACGCTCTTTGTTTGTGATCAATTTTCCATCTGTTAAGACGGACCGATTCACAGATTTGGGAGATGAAAGGAGGTGGCTCTGGGTTGCGCAACAAACCTATTTAGGTCTTCTTTGACAACAAAAACTGATTGAAATTTTTTAAACCCACGTAGTTGTACTCGGCTATGAACCGACAGAAACTAATTTGGAAGATGAAGGTTTTTCAGCAGAGAAACGTTGACTTGTCACAGCAGGAGAAGCAAAGGAGTAACTTGTAAAATTAACAGTGGCTCAGTTTCATTATGGAGTGCCAGTAAAGCAGCGTGAGCAGAATCAGGACCTTGGCACTAAGAAGCTTAAGTGGAATAAATCATTTATTACATAAGAACAAGATAAAATAACTATTGTGAAAAAGGTTGATTTTTATTAGCCATAACATAATCTTGTGTTTTAGCTGTGATGAAATAACGAGAGTTAAGAGTCAATTGGCGTCCCCTACAATGTTTAAAAGGGACTATATCAAGAAAAATCCACTTTCTGGAGCTTTTGACCATGCTATAGTTATTTCACCATGAAAAACACCCCCAAAGCAGTTTTTGGATTCACGCATGCATTTTCCAGCTGCTGCTTCTGTCAGTTCTACTAAGCTATTGCAAGTGGCTGGATAGAAAAGGTTAGGATCCTCATGCACTTCTCCTCTAGCCTGGCAAGCCATCTCATATATATGAATATGTAGTCTGGCCACGAACCATTAACAGCTCTCATTCGCAGGGTAGGATCTATGGGCAATCCACCATACATGGTCAAAGAAGACCCAAATACATAATTTTTCTAAATAAAGGACTCTAAATAATCAAAAGTTGATACCAAAGCGGTTTCAAATGAGCCGCCACCATCTTAGTTTTACACCAACATCCCGCCTACCCAACAGATATAGTGCTGTAATTGGACCGGCACCAGACGGTCCGGAGCAGAAGTTCGAATGGAGCGTGGTTAGATTGACAGGCAAAGCAAAATTATTTTGCTTTGGCAAAAGACGGTCTAGATTTCTAGGCTACATCTCCTCATGTGGTGTCAAATCCGGAACCCTCCTCCCATGGACTGTAAACATTAACACCCAGTTTCTCTGAGTTGCAAGCAGGGAGTTTATTCTCCACATCTGTGATTTATGTTTCCTACCTAGTTTGCAATTTTGATAATGGCTAAAACATAAAAATTCATTTTTGTCAGTGAGAGGTACAGGATCCCTGGTCAGTCTTCCTAAAGATTTTTACTACCACAAATTGTTAGATTTTATCTTCAGGAGCTCTCAAAAACTGAGCCAGAATGTGTTTCTCTGTGATCGTGATTTCACAGACTGCTTCTTAAATTCTGCCAGTATCACAGTAAATTTTCAGATGGATTTGTTCCTCAAACCGGCGCCATTCCAACATTAAAACCATTCAATGGTGAGGCCAGAGTGGCGAGTACAACCAAAATGCTAACTGTTAGCTGAATGGTTAGAAAGTTTGGTGGGTGAGCGTCAAGGACAGGCTGCGACAATAATTCATTCCAGCCACCTTTTTTCCATCAGAGTGGTGAGTTCGTGTGTGTTACTGGCTTCTCTGATGGGAGGACGGGGGGTTGCACTTGGTGTGTGTTTTACTGCTTCCTTTTTCTTCGGGTGTCAAGATGCTTTGCTGGGGATCTAGGGTTATTTTATGAAATGGGTGGAATTCACACATTTTTAGAGTACAGGGTTTAGTGGTGGATAAAACTTAAGAGAAAATCCCAGAGATACTTTTATCATATTACATTTAATACAGACAACCCCCAAAATGCCCCTTAAGGCTGATTTATACTTCTCCATCAGCTCAAGTATGGAGTCATGCACACAAATTGATGGAGATGTTTTCCCTTTGGACTTCTCCATCACGCGGGGATTGTTGCAGTTCCGCACCAGGACAGCAGAGGGCATAGTGCTTTTCTGGGGTATTCTGCCACCTTTATAGTCACGTATTTGGTTAAAGATAGTGCATTTTCTACAGTGTTTATGTATTTCAGAGACTTTTTAAACATGGACAAATTTGTCCTCCATTCTCCTTCGCCTTTTCAAGTTTCCCAGAATTTCCGTCCACTAATAAAATGCTTGCTGCTTATCTTTGCACTCTTTCAGTCACAGGTGAATAAACATTCAATTTTCAGACTTTTTCCATGAAACGTTCTTTAATCTGCTCTGTGTCAGTCATTAAATATCTTCGGCTCTATTTTTTGAGGGGTCAATGAGGGGTTAAAGGAAGCTTCATCCAGACCAATCACAAGCTTTTGGTCTCCATCTCTTTTGACGGATAGTTAAACTTGCATGGCTCTCCGTCAGCCTCTGCGAGCCCGGCGGAGAGCCAACTCATAATTACATCACGTGTCTCCGTACCCACGCAGACAGAGAAGCATAAATCAGACTTTAGGCCAATTTAGAGTTAAAGGTTAATTTAACCACCACCATTAACTACTCCTTCAACTCATCTTGACTGATCAGGTACATGAAGAAAACAGGACCAGGAAGTGCTGCTAGAAAAGCAGAGAAGAGCTGCAACAGGGGCCAGCAGGATAGAAGTGTGCATTAAAATTTGTCTTTTAAAAGTGTTGATGCTTCTAAATAAAACTTTAGAAGATTTAGAAGAAATTACTGAATGCTGTGGGAGGCCATTACTGGAAATAAAGGAAGCATGTTTTTCTGCATGCGTCACTGTGCCATTTTTACTTGAAATCAGCCTTCAAAAGGGGTGGAACCACACACACACACACACACACACACACACACACACACACACACACACACACACACACACACACACACACACACACACACACACACACACACACACACACACACACACACACACACACACACACACACACACACACACACACACACACACACACACACACACACACACACACACACACACTGCATGCAAAATAATATTGACCGAATGATTTAAACTGATTTTTAATCAGTTACATTGAATGCTTTTTGTTGTTGTTAGGAGCCAAAATTGAAATTAAAATACAAATCTGATTAATTTTACAGCCCAACTCGCCACTGGTTCATAAAACTGTATACTGGTGCCAAGGACATTCACGTAAAAACAATTTAAAAAAATTTAAATAAATGCCAGTCATATTTCTGGCTGTGTTCAGCGCTGGTTGGTGTCTAATTCAGCATTAGTGTCTTCCTCCATTTGATTATGTAGTCATGAGCTTGGGTAGCTGCACTTCCTGTGGTCAATCACATGATTTATATCCTTGAACATTTTATGCACCAATAACAAACAAAATACAACGGACAGCAATTTTTTTTTCTGTGACCTCAACATTTAAGTATTTATGCATTTTTTTTATTACTATTATAATGAAAATTAAATTCTCATTTTCTTTTGGCATCATAACGAAAATACCGCCAGACAAAGCACTTTTGTCGTGTGGCGACGTCTGAATTTGCAAAATTCAGGGAAAGTGGAGAGTGGAACACCCAGGAGAGTCCGACGACTGATGTGAACAAAACAATAATGGGCGACTGGCGTCAGAGAAAGAGGCCACATAACACATGAAAAACAAGAGAAAGGGTCCACAGTTAATTTGTGTCTGTGTGCACCTTCATTAGCTTGGGCTTTCCTCTGGGTGGCGGGGTCAAGCCCAGTTTATGAGACACGAAAGGGACCAACTAATTGAGCAAAGATGATGGGATAGATAGGCCTGTTAGAAATAATGATATACTCCAAAATAACCCCAACACAAAGCTGGAACACCGCTACATGGTTGTGCAAAGATAATGAACATTTATTTACACTCTCTAAACAAAGCGGCAGGACCCCGGAGGTTTATACAATACAGTTTTTGATGGTGAGGCTGTTTTGTGACAAACAGCAGCCATCGCTGTAACATCAGTGGGAGCAGAGCAGAAAATCACAGAAATAAGGACAAACATTTTACAAACCAGTGTCCAAATTTATGCAAATCTTCTTACACATGCAGAATGGAAACAATCTGTTTGTTTTTATTAAATTAGCATTGGCTGATGGTGTCTTGGGACTCTTACTAGCAGACAAAATCCCTTCACTGCTTCTTCATGAATTGATTTGTTACTTAGAATTATCCCACAACTTTACAAATCAATTAACACGTTCAGTTTATAATGAAGAGAATAACATAACCTCCAATTAATATACATACAAAACAAATGTAAGTATTGTATATTTGACTATTTTATGTTCTGCTATTCTCATATGGAACTATATAATTATGGCTTTTATTCTCCAAAATGAAACACCCTGTAAGTAAAAATGATGTCCACAGATTTAAAGACCCCCCCCCCCCCCCCCCCCCCCCCCCCGTACGACCTGTGATACACAGTCCAAGACTTGGTAGTTGGAGTTCCTGCGTTATTATTTTTTTTTGTTCTTTCTCTTTGGACAGCTGCTACTAAAAGAAGTGATTCGAAAAATATTCTGTACCAGTAAGTCAGTGACTGTAAAATAAAGTGGGCAAAACCCAAGAAGTGTGGCGATGTTTTAAAATGAACATTGACTGTTGATGGTCGATATGAAGAAGA